CCTTTAATGAAATTAGTTAAAAATCTACCACCCTGGTTTATGCTTTTACTTTGCTCTTTTTTTTGCCTTCTTTTGGGCTAATTTTATTATTTTTCCTACTAGTTTGGAAGTTAGGCACCTTATTGGGTTTGGGATATACTTTTTGTGTTTTGGTGGTGGTTACCCTAGAAATTACAATGGGATCACTTAAATTACAATGTCTAACGTTAATCTATGTCATTTTCTCATTCAGAAGATGGACGTGTCATATATCTTAATATTTTGGATTCTTAATTTTAAATTTAAATATCATTAAACATTATCATTGTTTTAGGTTAATTATTTGCTTAGATATATCCAAATATTTACTCACTTTTTTACCCTTTGCTGCTTTCTTTAATCTATCTTAGACTTTTCCTCTGGGACCACTTTCTTCTGGCTAAGCTTTTCCTATCTTGGAGACTCGGTTTTATTTATCTGAAAATGATTTTATTTTGGCCTATTCTTGAAAGGTATTTTCGCTGGGTTTGGAATTCCAGATTGCCAGTTACGTACTCTCAGCGTATTGAAGGTCGTATTTTATCACCTCTTGAATTACTCTGTCCCTAGACCAGGTGCCACAAACTGCCTCTTTTAAGGTTCTCTCTTTTCTCTCCTGCTGTTTTATGATAGTCCCTTGGCCACTGTTATTCTGCAATTTCACTATTTTGAGGCCTTGGTAAGAATTTTTTTAATTTCAGGAAAAAGCATACATAAACACACAGATTGACAGAATCACCAGAAGAAACAGATAAATCTGTGTCACATTGGATGGATTTAATCTTTCTCTCTAGTAATTGACAGAAAATATCTGGCAAGAATATAGAAGATTTCATGTATATAATTTACAGAATTTGACATAATGCAAACAAGACAGTGGGCTGATAAAAAAATACATTCTCTTTAAGCATATGCAACACTTAGAAACTGATGTATTTGGTCATAATGCAAATCTCGATGAAGTCCACACGAGCAATGTCACACATTTGACATTCTCTGACTATAATGCCATTAAGTTATGAATAGACAAAATGGTAACTAGAGAATCTCTTCCATGTGCCAGAAAATTAAGAAAGACAAATAAAGGATTTGGAATGGAAATTATAGTATGTTAAACCAAATGATTATAAAAATACTACACGTGGCACATGACCTTCTTCCTTCTACTTTTTTCTCAAACACCTTCCGCTTAAAATATTCAGTACCAAGGTGCCATATTTTGGGGTAATGTGTTCTGAACCCAATCATCAGAAAAACAGCAAAACAAATCCAAGACAAAAGGAACAGAATCGTTATTTTAAAAGAATGCATAAATCTTGCAAGAATGGTCAAAAACAAGAGAGAAATATGGAGACATGCTTTACCAGAAAAATTATATGAATGAGAAATAACATAATTTAGTGACTAGAGAAATGCAAACTAAAATGACAATGAAATACCACTCCACATCCATCAGAATGACTCAGAAAGACTAACAATACCAGGTGCTTGGGAGAATGTGGAGCGTTTGGAACTTTAATGCATTGCTGGTGAGCATACAAAATGGTATTAATACTTTGAAAACAGTTTAGTAGTTTGTTAGTGAGTAGACCCAGCAATTTAACTCTTAGATATTTGCTCAAAATAAATGAAAACATGTCCACATAAAGTCTTGTATATAGCTGTTTGTTGGGAACAAGAAATTTTCCTGTATTTTTCAAGGTTCTTCTGGCTGGTCGGAGAATCGAACTGACATGAGACAGATTAACAGAAGAAAATAAAATGTAATTATGTACATAGGGGGAATCCATATACACATGAGACTCCAAAGATAGTCAGGCAAAATGACATATATGTGTCATTGTGAACTAAGAAGGCAGTAGGGTCTGGGACTTAAGAGAGAAATAAATCAATTCATAGGGATCTGAAAGATAAAATGTTTGGTAAACAAGTATCTGCTGGGCCACACAGAAGCCACAACAGGACATAAAGAGGAATTTTAACAAACAGACTTCGATTCCTCCATCTACCACCCTTCGCTCATATTATAGCATAGTTACCTGCGGTGATAGCTCTCTTCTGGGAGCAGGTCCTCTAAATTCTTTTAGATGGGGAAGATCAAAGTTGCTTTCTGAGTCTTTTGGCTTTTGTTTTCAGCCCAAAATAATCTGCATGCCAAAGTGGCACATCTTGGAGTGACTCTTCTGACCCCTACATTCACTGCAGTTTTATTCATAATATTAAAAAACTACAAACAACTGAGTTAGAGAAAGGGACATGAGACACCATAAAATATTCTTGGCCTATGAACAAAGGCCTAGCTTATTCTTTAACATGTTGTTTTTCCTTCTTCCAGTCATATTAATCAATTGAGGAATGTTATATCCAGGACAAAGAACAGACTTCTGGAGCACAAACAAACCAACGTCAATTTTGATGGATAAAGAATGCTGAGATACAAATCAACAGTCAACCTATTTTAGCTGTCTGGACAACCTGGACAGCCCCATTCTCAAGACAAAACTTCAAAGCAAGTATCAGTCATCTATATACATCATGCCTTATACCAACCCATGTTCAAAAGGCCCTATAAAAACCCAAACCCTGAAACCTTGCATCACACCTCTTCTTTCGCCTCTCAGGTTGCCTGCACTCCTGAGTATATACTTTGGCTTTAAATAAAAACTTCCTGCTGCTCAGCTTATTGCATCTTGTCTATGAATTCTTTCTTACAACAAAGACAAGAATCTGGACCTTAATCGGACTCATGAGAGCCACTCTGACATCAAACCGATTGATAAATGAATAAACTGTGGCACAATACTATTCACCAACGAAGAGAAACTAGTTACACACATCACTACATACATGCATCTCAGAAGTAGTATGCCGGATACAAGGAGTCAGGCACAAAAGACTACATCATGATTCTACTTACATAAAATTCTACAAAAGGAAAACTATATAGTGACAGACAACAGATCCATGAGCACCAGAGGCCAGTGTCAGAGACACACTGCAGCCGGGCATGATGAACATATCAGAGTAATGGAAATGCCCTTCCCTATCCAGTGATAGGATAATCAGTTGCAGTGGTTCTCAACTTTCAAGTTGCAACCAATTGATGAATTTATAAAACCAATATCATGGTTTTGACCAGACTTTTGAAAAAATGAATTGGAATCAAATGGGCTAGTCTGTAACAGAAAAGAATAGAATATGAAATACTAGAGTGCATTGCAGGAATATCTTGCAAATTATCTTGTGAAACTTTTATTTCAGTTACATATGCATCTATGTCAATACTGGATGGTGATATAAAATTGAACTTTAACTATGGGTTTTAATATTTCAACTAAAAAATACTGACTAAAAAACAAATAAAACAAAAAACCCCACATTGACTTAGGTTAATGTAGGACGGGTTTTGACAATATAACTCCTAAAAAGGAGGAGAACCTACTAAGGATACAATGTATATGTGTATTTCACAAACGAAACAATTATAGGAGTTAAAGTGATGCAGACAGTGAGAGGAAGTTAGGAAGTAAACTTGTAACTCATTAGCAATTGATAGTGTCTTTATAGGGACTTTGCTGGGAAGGGCCAGCAATCCCTGAGATGATGGATGAAAGATCACTCCACATTTTACAGCAAGAGAGGACAAGGTGAGGGGGTCAGCGCTCAGAGGGGAAGACCCTTTTCCTCTGCTCCTTCTGGTATTTATTTTGTGCTTTCTAATCTTGACATCTTCATTAAAAATACCACAGGTGCAGATCACAAGAGTGCAGAAAGTCACAGGATGTAATCAATCTTAAACCTTTCATACAATCAAAGGCTTTCATGTGTTGATTATATCAGACGCACAAAGCAGAGCTCTACATGTACTACGTGCTTGGTTAAACTAGAGCTAAACTATGCAAAAGCAGCATTTGAGGCAAACAACTTCAGGTTCACGGGAACAGGAGCGGGCAACTCTTGTGGTATTCCAACAATAAAGTCTTTACACAGATCTCAGCATTCCAAGGGTCTACACCCCATCCAGCAGTCCCATGATGCCCTCTGGAAATCCCTATCTTTATTTTAGCAAGCCAAGCAGTGTGAACACCACCGTGACAATATAACTCCTAAAAAGGAGGAGAACATTTCCATCCCTCTGAGGAATTTACTGGTAACTTTATAAATGACCATCAAAGCAAGTACCATTGAGAGTCAAAAGGGACCAAGACAACAGGTATAACCTGGAATCATGCCAGGTAATTGAGTACCTCCTAAAGGTGCATGTCACCAATTAGCAGTTATTTTTAACAAATGTTGAAATTGATCATCTAACTACGATGTGTTATCACCACCACTGAGTCATTAAGGACTTTCTAGGTGTCTGCCCTTTAGTACCACAGCCCTACCTCCACTAAATCTACCCTTGTTAAAATCAGTGTGATTCACCTAGTTTAGATTCTAAACCACAAATCTGATCCTACCAGTGTGGAATTAAGATTAATAAGAAATAGACATTTGGTCTTGGTCCCCTGTTCCTGGCAAAACCCCTGTGATTTCCAATATAAGAGCTAGAGGTCACCTTTTGTTACAATAGAGGTGTTGCCATTCCTCAAATAGCTCCAGGGTAATTCAAGTGAAATGGGCATCTTTTGTTATTCATATAACAAGCCCCTCCTCCCCCACCAAACCAGAGTTTATGTTAATGAGGTGACTTTTGGAAAGCCCCTAAGGACGACAGAGGCTGGTTGTCAGGGGACCCCAGCCATGTGATTAAAGGGTGGTAACTTTCAGTCCTGCCGCCCCACCCCTCATCTCTGGGAGGGATGCAAGGGAGGAGGCTGAATTAATCACCAGTGGTCAATGGTATGATCAGTTGTGCCCAGGTAAGCCTGAACGTGCAGGGTCCAGGGAGCTCCCAGGCAGACCCGTGGAGATGATGGATGAGCGGGGGGACCTCGGGAGGGTGTAGAAGCTCTGCACATTTTCCCACCTTTCCCACATACCTCTTTCTATGTATCTCTCACCAGGCTGTTTGTCTGTATCCTTTAATACCCTTTGTAATGAACCGATAACCTAGAGTTAAAAAACAAAAATTCAACTGAGTAAACTTGAGGATCTAATTGGCTTTATTCAACAATTCAGGAATGGGGCCACACCCCTTCTAGTAGGTAGGCTCTCTGAGCAGGTGTACAAAACGGGAGATTTTAATATGCAGAAGGAGGAGGGGCAAGAAGGTTATTAGCAAAAGAAAAGAGATTGCTTCCAGCCAGGTCACCTTTTGGGGAAAGGGAACGACAGGGGTCTTACGTGGCTCACCTCACCAGTGCTGCTCAGGGGATTTCAGATTGGCTGTTTAAAGGTCACATTTCTGGGAGCAGGTGAAACTGCAATTATGTCTTGGTTTTGCTCTCATGGGGGCTCAGAACTCTACTGTGGGCCCATCATTTCTCCTCCGACATAAGTAAACTTATTTCTGAGTTCTGCAAGCCGCTCTAGAAAATTCATCAAACCAGAGGGGATGGTAGGAACCTCTGATTTACAGTTGGTTGGTCGGAAGCACAGGCGACAACTTGCAATTGGAATGTGAAGTGGGGGTGAGGGGACGGTCTTGGAGGTCCGAGCCCTTAACCTGGGGGATCGGAGGCTGTCTCCAGGTAGGGTGTCAGCGTTGGGATAAGACATGGAACACCCAGCTGGTGTCAGAGAATTGCTTGAAAAACTCACTCTTGTGGTGTCAGAAGTGATGTGAAGTGGATTGTTCTGAGGACCTGAGAGCTCCGAATTCTCAGACTCTTATTGTATGTCATCTAAATGAAAGCAGTAGAGTTTTCCTTTATATCCAGACTCCTCTTTAAACCTTTCTGGAGAAAAAAAAGGAGAAAGATTTGAAATTCCATAGCACTGTTAGGCAAAAGACAGACATGAGCAGGGTGGAAAGAGAGTAAAGGACACAAAGAGTTAATCAGATAAAACCAGAGAGATGGAAAGAACTCACAGAGTTGATTAGTTGAAGTTTCAAGGGTCAGGAGTGACTTGGAATGTCCAGACACTCCCCCAGATGAAAAACAACTCCCCAGATGAGAAGCTTTTAAGCACAGACACTCCCCAGATAAAGAAAAACATCAAGGCGCAGCCCATGTCTTCATTTTACCAATTAGATCAGGCCTCCCAGGTCAAGGATTGTCAATCAAAGACTTCTCCACCCTGTCAAAAACCCCAAAAAGCAGCCTCACAGTAAGTAGTTGAGGCCTGCTCGGTTACTGTTACAGTGCAATACAACTTACTTTGCTTTCTTGACTTTGGGTTCATGTCTCACTCTATCTGACCTCCCTGCAACATCAAACCAAACTCCTTCCTAACACCACCATATGTAGGGAAGGCTCTCCATAAACTCTCCAACCTCTCCAGTAGCTAATAGTCTTCTGGAGCATTCACCCCACTTTCTTGCCCATTGTTCAAAATTCACTTAGCTTATCTTCTTCTCCCTCACCCTTCCTCAAACACCCAAGATGGACTAAGCAGAGATGTGACTGAAATCCTGATCAGGGGAGTTTTAGCAGGGCAGTCTGTCTGGGTGGGTTGGAGAGTCTAAGGGATTGATTTTGAAATACCATTTGCAAGCGCCAAATAATTTCCCTCGCTTGTGGAGTATAACAAGGAAGCCAAACTGAAGGAACAAAACAGCAGCAGAGTCACAGACTCCAAGAAGGGACTAGTGGTTACCAAAGGGGAGGGGTGTGTGACGGCGGGCAGGGAGGGAGGGAGAGGGGACTGAGGGGTACTATGTTTAGTGCACATGGTGTGGGGGGGTCACGGGGAGAACAGTGCAGCACAGAGAAGGCACACAGTGACTCTGTGGCATCTTATTACACTGATGGACAGTGCCTGCATTGGGGCGTGGGTGGGGACTTGATAATATGGGAAAGTATAAGTAACCACATTGTTTTTTCAGGTGAAACCTTCATAAGAGTGTATATCAATAATACCTTAATAAAAAATAAATAAATACATAAATAAATAAATACCATTTGCAAGAGATGGACATTATTTTTCCTTGCTTCTCCAAAAGAAGGAACAGTGAATGTCAGATTTCTGGAATGGGAACAGTCTGGATATTGGGAATTAAATTTGAAGTCTGCAAGAAAATGGAAGACATCCAAGCATCACTTTCCAGTTGACACAGCTCCTGAATGCAGAATGACATGAAATGCATGTAAAATGAGGTCACAGAATGATGATGCGCTTATCCAGCATGAAGCTTACACCCGTCACTTACACCCATCGCCAGGCACCCACCATCCTCCTCCTGCACCCACTCCAGCTGTTCTCAGCTGAAAGGCGCCACTCTGCTGTTCCCAGTACAGACCCCTCCCCACCACAACCCCACACCATACATTTGTTCACCCCAACTTCAAATCTGTGTACTAAAAGGTTGCATCAAAGTAGTAATTCAGCAACAACTGCTTAAAATAAAATAGAAATGATCAGGTTACTCTAGGATCTCACAATGAAGACAGCTAAAATACAAGGTAGCCTACCATGAAACAGAGAACATCACAGAGCCAATGAAGTAAGTGTCCGTGTAGGGCACAAATGGCGACCCAAGGACATAAATATGAAAATGTTAAATGATATCAGATTAATATTCCAAAACCTCTCTACATTAATGTGAAATATTCTGTTAACCATCTAACTGATTTATGTCCTCAAGTGTCATATAATGCAATGGCAAGATAAAAATGTACAAAAAAAACCAGTGTATGTCAATAAACATAGCTTCCAAGGAGGTGTCTACAGACTTTTAACACTGTCTATATAAAAGGCTATTTTATTTGAGGTGGGTTTTTGAAGAGGCCAGTGGAGATTAGGGGTCTGCCAAACTCTCTATGAGAAGCTAATTTGCAATTACTCACTTGTTATATAAAGAAAATCTGCCTCCTGCGGAGACTGGGGATTCGTTAAGGGCAAGGATAATTTCTGATTTACTCTTCTCTGTTTCCCCAGCAGATAGCCAACAAATATTGACTGGCACTCTTGTTTGAGTAGTTGTGGGAGAGTAGGACAGTGTCCGGGAAGAGGGAAATGGTCAGCGTTGTGTTCTGAAGGATGCTGGAGGCTGAGCTTGCAGAACCAGTCAGCCGCTGTGGAAACCCAGAGCGAGGAACTAAAGCCAGGGGGTCCCCAGAACAGTGAGAGCTGTAACAATCTGCCCTAGAAGACTACAGGACAGCTGGGCATCTGGATTTACAAATTGGCTCTATAATGAGAATACCCACCATTGTAATAGAAAACTGTTATTTTCTGGGGATTACCCAGGAATTCTCCTTAAAATATAATTTAGGGAACTGCCTTTGTTAATTCCCTTATTTCTTTATCCATACTAGGTCATACCTGTTCACCTGCTTCTTTTTTATTGACTAGATCAGGGGTCAGCAACCTACGTGCAGCCTGCTTTTATGTGACCCCTGGGCAAAAGGTGGTATTACCTTTTTATTTTATTCTATTAACTTTTATTTTTAACTGCACTATAGTTGATATACAATATTATGTTGGTTTCAGATGCACAGCATAGTGATTCCACAACTATATACATTACTAAATGCTAAATGCTCACCATAGAGTAGTTGCCATCTGTCCACATACAAAGATATTACAATACTATTGACTATGTTTCCTGTGCTTTGCTTTCATCCCTGCAACTAAAGCATTACCTTTTTAAATGGCTGGGAAAAAAATCAAAGTAATATTTAATGACCCATGAAAATGATATGAAGGTCAAAGTTCAATGTTTACAAATGGTTTTGTTTGGACATAGCCATGCTCATTCACTTACATACACATTGGTGCTACAATGATACAGTTGAATACTTGCAACAGAGACCCTATGGCCCACAAAACTGAAGATATTTATGAGCTGGCCCTTTAAGAAAAAGTTTACTGACCAGATCAACCCACCCATAGAAAGGTCAGTGTGAAAGTGGTAGGTCAACCAGGTAAACGTTAGAAAAGATAAAATGTGCAAGTTTTCATTGGTGCTCTTGCCTCAGGAGGAGGCTTCAAACCATAGACTTCAAGTACTCAGTTCCCTTTAACAAATTTTCTCCATTTCAGCCTAATACCATTAAATATTTGATCATCTAGCTTCCTTTGCTTTAATGGTGATTTTGTTTCATTGGTAGGTCAGCCCGTATAGATAACATTCACATTTGTAAGGTCTCTGAGTCTTTCGCATTCCTGTCAAAGTGATTTTATATCGGAAATTGAAGACTTGGCCTCTGACTGTGATTGGCTACCTCAGAGCTTGCGTGTGGGGAGAGAATTCAGCACTCTGAGCTCAGTGTAATTGTAAACTAATACATTGGCTTTCTTAGGCAATCACGGTAGCCTACTTCCCATTGTCCATTCTTAAGAGATGGACTTGCTGTTGGCGAAATCAGGGCAGTGCCTGGAACACACCAAGCTCCTGATAAATTTTACAGATTATTATTAAAGAATTTCCTCTAGGGGATTCAAGGCATTGATAGGAGTTATTTTTTTAGTAAACTGCATTTTATTACTGTAGGATCTGAAGAATCAAAAGTTAGCATAAGCATAGCCATCTTAAAGGCTTAAACACCACCCTCTAACCTAGAAGGAGGAAAATTATTAGAACCTTGAAAAACAAGTTAGTCAGCCAGTGTTAATTGTAATGACCTTTAGTTAGCTAACCTCAAATCAGTTAATCATACATACCAAGCTTATCTTGCTAGAACCACCCTAAACATTCTGAAAGTGATTTTATCTAACCAGACCCCCAGGATGTGGCGTCAGCCGAAAATTTATGTGTCTATGGAAAAACACTGTATAGTGGCTGTGGAAAATGCTGCCCCTTTGAAAATGCTATAAAAACTTCTGGCTTTGTGTGTTCAGGGTCCTTGTTGAGACCCGCTGCGTCGGGCTGATGCTTGGACCCCAGCTAGCTGGTTCCTGAATAAATTCCTCTTGCTTGTTGCATCAAGAGACGCCTTTCGTGAGTGATTTGGGGCGGCGTCCTCCTCTGGGAGAATCCAACA